AAGGATGGTATGAGTTTTGGAGGTTTGCTATTTTTGTTTTGCTGAGAAGGATGCTCTACTTGTCTAATTTTTAGAAGTTTCTTCCATCAGAAGAAACAAAGAAAGTACTGCAAAAAACACTTTGACTGTTGCCCTGGACGGTTCGATGATGAGCGTCCAGGATGCAGAAAAGCTGCCAAAGGCAGTGTATGCAAATCCTGATTTCCACAATCATTATGCTCAGGAGGCAGGCAGCAGAATGTGGCCTTATCTAGCAACTGTCATCACTAAGATAAAAAGATATTGAAATGAGTAACCACGCCGAGTGTGTCTCAGACAGGCTTATATATGCACTAGCTACTTTTTCTCCTTCCCCTCATCAGCATCTATAACCCTGTGGAGATGGTGGCATTTAAAAAGACACAGCAGGTGGTTAATAAATAGAAGCAGTTGAAAGGGATTTAAGCTAATACTTCAGAGGATGGTGAAGCTTTCTACAACTTTAGCTAGAGAATGATGCTAAGTTAGAACAGCTGGAAATGGCCTCCTTTAGCCAGCTGGGACTCTCCTTTTTTAAAAAAACATCAAAGGACTTGTAGAAGCCCTCTTTGATTTTAAAGATGAGTTGGTCATAAGTATCACTAGGAATAGTTTAAAAATTAAAAATTAATTATAAGAACTAAAAATAGTTTTAGCTTTGCACAGACAACCACGCTGAAGCAAAAGGCTGGATATTAAAAGCTCCACAAACTCATAACAGCCTAATATTTTGGTGTTTTTGGTTATCTAAACAATTTAACTGATGCCCAAATATCATAAAAGTGTTCATATTAGTGGGGTACTGTGCAATGGTTGATGTTTCATTTGGGTTACACATATGTATCCCCTCTAACATTCAAAACATTTATCAAACTTATGAAACAAATCCTCTATCATCTTGAAGTATACAGCATATAATTATCTGTAGTCACTGTTTGCTACATTAGTACCCCAATTCACTTAGTATTTTTAAAATAAAAATCTTAGCTTGCCTTAAGTTGTTTAATCACCACATTCTGCACTGAACAGAACAGAAAAATGTAGACTCCTACAATCACATTTTATTTTTAAAGCACTCCAAGGTACAGAGATGGTTTGCCAGGTAAGAGTACTTCCTGCTCTTACAAAGGACTTGAGTTCAGTTCCTATTACCTACATGGCAGCTCACAGGCCTCTGTAACACTAGTCTCGGGGATCCAACACTCTCTTCTGGCTTTTGGGGCATCATGTATAAGCATGGTACACATACATGCATGTAGGTGAACACAGGCACACCACAGAAAATAAATCTTAAAAAAATACAGTATTCCAAAACTATTACCCAAATGCCATGTATTCATCTAAATAAAAAATCTTGATTTTTTTTTTCAGATCTTGAAACTCTCAGTGCATACCTACCTATTGGTTAAAATCCTTTAAGACTTAAAATGCAGTAATGCATTCATAGAATAGAACCATGCAAATTTTATTTTCCAAGACCTACATAGTCGTTAGTTATTAGTAGAGATCTGTCCATTTAAATGCACCAGTGTTAATAACCTACATTTTCTTTGTATCCCTAAAAGTGGGGCTGGAGATGTGTCGTGTGGCTGAGCTCTTGCTTAGGCTCATTTCAACCAACAAATCACACTACTGCCACCCTTGCTCCCATCTTCCTGCTCTTCCTCACCACTGGGCCCTGGATGTAGCTAATTGTCTTCTGCATTAACAGAGAGGGTGACTGAAGGCATTATGTTACTTCTGACAGGTACTTCTGACTTCTTACATGGGTCATCAGAGAGGCTGCTTTTCAATCAGCTGGTCCCTATGCGCATCCTCCAGAGGTATGTTAATTTGGAATTGAGCATCAGGCCCACTCTAACCATAAAGAGACCACCCCACAGTATATTAAAAGGTTTGCATCAATGTATGCGATTTAAGTGCACATGCATATAATTAACTAGACACATTAACAGTGTGAGCCGCTAATTTGGAACGAGACACAAAAGACTAGAATGTGTGTGGAAGGGAAAAAAAAACTTTAAAATTAAAATGACTACATAATGAAAACTGCTTCATGCTGTGTCTACTGTTTTCATGTAAACTTAATATAACTGTAAATATATTTTAATGAACAGTAGAAAGAGGCAATTACAGAGAGCAAAGGAGGGCAGCTCCACAGTGAAACATCAGAATGGCTCTTTGCCTTCATATTAAAAGTGGTGCCTGAAGACAGAGGGTGAATTATAACTTCATAATTTCAGGGGAAAAATGCCTTCTATAGTAAAGACACATTTGCCAATGAGCTGGTAGTGAAAACAAAACCCCATGTGAAAAAGGCATGGGGGCAGGGATGACAGAAGAGGATCTCACTAGCAAACACAAAACAGGAAATCCAAGCTTGACTGGTAAAAATTATATATATATATCTTATTAGGTGTTTACACTTCGTTAACATAGCTTTGTGTTACTTGAAGATTTTTCTAGAGCATAAACTAGTTATTAGTTCGGAGAGTATTTAAAAGCCTTCTATCTTGGAAGAGTTGGATGATAGATTTGCAACCTAAAATGAGTATGACAAATCCCCTCGCTCAAATTTCAGAAGAGAATACAGAGTTTTGGACACTGACATATTTTTGGTATTAGTGTGATCCAGGTGGGAGGAAAGGACGGCAAATGATGGACCAACATCACAGACGATCTCTAGTGCTGAGCCTGCAGGGCAGTGGGGGTGGAAGGTAAAATATCCTTTGAAGCAACCTGGAAGTTCAGCCCATGAAGTACCATGAATTCTGATTTTTTAAAGAGAGGAATGGAGCTTGCCAGATATTGGAGAGAAAATAATCTATATTAACTTTAAATGGAATGCAGGGCTAGACTGTAAAGTCAAAGTGAGTAGGGCGGTTTTACTTAACGCATGTCTTCTACTTTGCATATTGAAAAGCTCCCATATCTACTTTCAAATGTTAAATGAAGACTTCGGGCTTGGTTAAAAGAAGATGAATAATAGCATCAATTATTTTCCTTGTTTTATGGTTACACAGTCAATTATTACAAATCTATAGATTACATGGGAATGTGAGCTACCAGGCAGATATTTTAAATTACATTAGAAATGATACAGATTCGGTGCTACGCCGAAATTCTAATTACGCAGTGGTACATCACACCGACAAAGCACAGCAGCTGTGTGCTTGAGGTGAGCCAATCTCTGCGCGTGCCTCCAACCCCTGGTGGTCTCACCTTTCTCGGCTGATTCACAGAAGGTATGCAATGCATATTCACAGACTTCTGGAACTTCAGCATAAAGGAGGTTTTATGATTGACCTAGCATAGATCTAAAATCAATAAACCAAATAAGCTAAGAGGCCTCCCCAGGGCATCCAGTGATGGGCTTGCTGCTTTTTCATTCTTTTCTGTTGTCTTTCAAATACTAATTTTAGCAAAACAATATATGTAGAGACAGCAATTACCACCCAATTCCGCTTTCACTTACATTTTCTTACCCGCCCCCACCAAATATGGACATCTTTAGCACTATATTTTACATATAAAGTTTCAAAATAGTACATTTCAGAATACCAATAAATATTTTAAGTGACAAAACAATGCAATTTCTTTGGCATTCCCTTGATATGAAAACAGCAAACAGAGAACTTGCATCTTATATAAATTTCTAGCACATATGAAGAGCTTATATTCCTTCTAGCTATTTAATAATTCTAATCTAAAAGACTATATTGCTAATTACAGAAGGAATATTTTTGAAGCATACAAAATAAAGGGTGTGATTTGTAGAATAAGATTCAGAAAAGGCTGTCAAAGAATAATCTTTAAATGGAATTTTATTTATAAAAATTTACTAAGGAGATAAAACAATAATGTTGATATCAAAAGGTATTAGCTGTGATTTTTCTGATTCCATTTTTTTTTTACATAAACCTAGTCACATGAGTTTGGTTCCTATGCGATATGCCCACTACATCAAATAACTTAAGCCTATTAACAAATGCTTTGATGGCACTTGGCCCCTGGAGATTTCCACTAATTGCCTTGTGCTTTTCAAACTTCCGAATACATATTACAATTGTTTATTATAAAAATGACTAGAAAGCAGTTACTGCAAGCCTCACATCATCCTAATGAATATTAGGATACACGGAGAAAGGTCTATTGGTCTACATAACTGTGTAGGAGCAGGATGTCAGCGCATGGCAAAACGGCACTCATTCCGGACTGCTAAATATTAAACAGTGATTCCGACTGTCAGTGAAAAAATAATAGGAGGCTTAGAATGCATTGGTATTTTCAGATTTCACAGATCTTCAATAAACACTAAAGAACAAAATGAAATGGAAAATTTCACGACATAATTACAGCATAAATTTCTTGGGGAAGGAAAACATATTCATTGTAGAACTTCCCCCACATCATCTACTGCCATTCTACAACAGGCATTTAATAACTATTTATTGATTAATTGTGGCACAATAGAAAGACTGACCAGAGTGATTGTAATCATTCCTAAAACTGTAATAGCTACTCAAATTAACAGGAGACAGTAGAGTCAAATTGAAAATATTTGGACTTTGGAATGAGACATTTTAAGGTATGCCTTGTGCTCCAGCCAGCTGCTTCCTTGAATCTGACTTTCCAGCTTCTTGTCTGTGAAGATACTTGAAATGAAATGATATATACAGATTACATAGCATAGTGTATGGGACAAAGGAATCACCAATCAACAGCTTTTGGGTGGAAATACGAACTGCACAAAAACTGGTAACAGAGTATCAATGATCTCAATTCACATGCTTTGTGGGGACATTTAATCAGTGACAAAGACTGATATGCTGCACAGTGGACTAAACAATTATGATAACCACATGATGCCAATGAACAGTGTTATTTACATGTTAATCAACTGTAAATTCCTATACAAATCCTTTACAACTTTGTACCTGTAAAAAGCACAGGCATTCTACTGTGAGTCCATCAGTCCTTACCAGTAACTTCCAGTGGACGAAGGCATATTGCATCCAAAAAGTAGCATATGATGGACAGTATCCATGCTGGCACGAGGCTTGAAGTCAACTGTCATGAGAAAATGATACATGAATGTGAATACAAAGTATACAACTGTGTGGCACCGTCACAAAAGACTACATCTTTGAACAGTTTGGATATTTATATAACAATGATGCTTTGATGCTGCAATGAAAAAATGCCCTGATATTTGATATTCTTTAAGACGAGTATGAGTTAATAATTTGATGTGGGAATATAGCAAATAATTGCATATTAAAAAGAGAAAATAATAATTAACGGGCTGATGAAGACTGCTATTAATACATACATACACACACACATGCACATTTAAAAATGAATGGTCCCTTTTAATGTGGTGAGTGCATTATGTGGGTATAATGTGAACGCTCCAGGCTATTTATTCACAATATATTTCCTTCCCACTTTCGGCAGAGTGCTGTGTACCAGAAACATTGCACAATGGTGCAGTAAAACAGAAGCCATGGTGAGCAGTCAAAATATGAGCAAAAGGATTCACAACATATCTATATCACCTTAAATAACAATAGCAGTCATTGCACACATGCAACACACACACACACACACACACACACACACACACACACACACACACAGAGATTTTCCCCAGAAACAAAAATATATGTGCTAATGTATCTTTATAAAGATATTAAAGTAAAATTCTATCCTAGGCTAACCCAGTGCACTTCTTAAAAGAATACCGACACTTGTGTAATGGTATTGATTCTTCCTCCCAAAATCAGCAGTGGGAGATACTACAATAAGCAAAAAACAACCCCAAATACAGGCACAATTTCACAGTTGTGTTGTCGATGGTTGATGGTGAACTTTGGCTCCCATTCACAGAAGGGATTGGTGTCCCCTTTTGTCCTCACTGAAAACGCTACCTGTGATGTAGTAGTAGTTCATGTGTCACCAGTTCATACACAAAAATGCTAAGTTGTCAAATATCAAGTATCTCCTGAAGTACCTTTTGCCTATTTTTATTTGGCTCCTAGACAGAATTAATAAAGCATCATTTGTTGTGAAAATACACACTGAGGCATGAGTATTTATCAAATAAAAACATTCTGATTCGAAGTGTGGCATGGGACTTGCTGGCAGGTTGGAAAGCACAGGACACGCACTCTGTGCCACTCTGACTTACAGTTTCACAGGAAACCATAGGCTTTTCATTTACTGCACTGAAAATAAGAATTTACAGCTGAAAAACCAAATCTTGGGGCTTTCATACCACCATTTAAAAAGCTAACAAAGAGGATGCCTAGAACACGGACTTACTATAACCCGGACTTACTATAACCCGAGGCTCTGCTGTCTCTAAAGAAAGAATACAATGGAACTGGGAGATTGAAACTGCTTTGGAAGTAAAGAATAAATTGAAAGTTACAATAGCTCATAATTCCTAGAAACTCATAGTTTGTTAGCAAGAGAAGCAGAAGAGGAAAAGCGTGTCTGCCTGTATTGGTCACTCACATGGAGGACAATGCGTCCCTGCTCCCTTTCAGAATCTTCCCAGGGACCTCTTTGGAACCTTTTCTGTCAGAAGCAAAATTAAAAAAGCTCTGGAGTGTAATAAACACTTGTTATTTATTCGTTTTTTATTCAACTTAAGTTTATTTTGGCATAATATATGATTGGTAACTTGGTTTTTATTATTCTCAGATTGATGACAGAACTCTATGGACATCTCTACTTTTAAAACTATCTATTTTTATTTTTGTTTATATGTGTTTGTATGAATATGTGCCATGTGTTTTCAGTTGCCTACAAGAGCCAGTAGAGGGTGTGAGATCCCCTGGAGCTGAACTTATGGGTGGTTTTAAACTGCCCAGCATGGGTGCTGAGAACAGAACTCAGATCCTCTGAAAGAGCAAGAAGTGCTCTTCACTGCTGACTCATTTCTTCAGCCCCTCCCACCAAAAAAAAAAAAAAAAGTAACTGTGACAATCTGTGAATGGTTCTCAAATAAGGGGCTGACTCCTGGTCTCTTGTATAACTTGTGTTGATTTCATCCCTTTAGATTATCTGACTAGCGAAGACATAGTTTTCCTACCATTGAATCATTGCTAGAATTTCAGTAACAAACCAACAAAACTAAGAGTGGTTTATTCCAGGAATTAAGCTTTTAGATTACAGACAATTTTTGATTCAGGCATCACTTAAACATTCAGGTGGACACACAGGTTGGAACTGTGACTTTTGGGGGCAGGCAGGCAGGGAGGGAGAAAGAAATCACTCCATTTGGAAGTTTCTCACAGATTAAATGCAAAGCTGTTGGGTGGATGGAAGTATGAACCTTGGAGAAGGCTTGGGACAAAGGGGCAGAGAAGGCCCTGAACTGTCAGGTACCTTTAGAGAACATCACTTGAGGCTCTGCTGAGGAACAAAACAAGAATATTTTTTTGGAGAAAAAAGTGAGCCATCAGTAAATAAAAAAAAAAAAAAGATGCAGATGTGCAGGATCATTCACTAAGGCAACAATAAGCCGTGTCTTGGCTTTTTATAAGGAGAGGGTGAATGAGGGTGCATTAGGCATCTGCTTAAACAGAAGGACCTTCTGATACCCTCTGTTCAGTAAAGGGCAAATTCTTTAACCATCTATTTTAAAAACTCACTCTGACATAGTTTCTTAAGTACTACTTGTTTGCTTTACATCAAACCTTTACTAGATATAAGTATGATTTCATTTCTAAAGTGAGAAAAATCCATTATAAAGCAGTGGCAAAAGAAAATCCCACAGTTCTGACTCATAAAACCTTTACTAAAGCAAATAAAAACCAGCCCTCCAAAACCTTATTCTTTCCAAGTCATATATTCATCCAGAAATTCAAGATGTAATTTAAATGCTAAAGAAATTATGGGTAGAAGGTGAAAAAATGATGCTAATCATCTTTTTTCATATCCTAATGAAAAATATATCTAAGTATTTTCATAATTATAGCTCAAAGTACAGTTCATTGCAAACTGGGATGAAAAATACCTCCAGCTAAAAAAAAAAGAGTCATATTGAAATGTAAATCTAAAGCAAACAGCAGATGACTTACAGTAATGTCGTGCTTAGAAAATTCCATCTAAAGGCAACAAATGGGCAAAGAGAGTTTGACAGGTTCATTTTCTGGGCTGGTTTCATTGCTACTTCCTATAGAAATACTGAAGCTCCACCCCTGGTGGATAGGATTAAGTCTGCCGAGCAGAAGACATACACATGATTTTGGAGCTCTCAATAGAACTAGAAAGAAAATCTGCAAAAATAAAATCATATCTTCAAAGAAATTGCTCCTTTTCCCCCTCATCCCCTGATGTCCTGTCATATGACAAAGAAAGAAAGGATCCCAGGAAAAAGGAGGAGGGGGGTAATAAAGAAAAAAGTGCCACGTGAGTGTGCTCTTCCAGTAGGCAGAAAAAACAAAGCCTTGGAAGGGTGACAGATTGCTCAGAACACAGCCTTGTGAGAACGTACGGGAGTATTATAGCTGATTAGATAGCAACTGCCATCAATCTCCCAGGTGGGCAATAAGATAGCACTGGCTTACTTGGAAATGATGCGAACAGTTAAGATCACTCGATGTCTACGAGCAGGGAAAATTGTATAGGTAAGCCCTGGAAACTAAACACCTTTGAAGGAAAAAGACTTCAAAGTAGTAACTCAGGCACATCAATGAAAGGAAAAGAGTGACAGGGAAATGCACAGGTAGGCGGGCTCCCCAAAGGGTAATGTCACCCCAACTGAAAGACAATAGTATGTGTGGGAAGAACATTAAGAAGAAAGACAGACACTGAGTTCTATTTCTGGAGTTCCAAGCAAAGTCTGTTCTAACTGCATGAAGCTCTAGGGATTCATGGCCTCTTATAGCTAGCATCAGACTGCCATCAGGGCCATACACATTTCTAAGACTGTGACCTGGGAGAAACTTGTCATTGAACACTTGGCTCTCTCTCCATTTTTCCTTTCCAAGTGGATTTCCAGGTCTAAGACTACATGTCAAATTGGATACATCAAACTCATGATGTGGAAACACCGTGAAGAACACACTCAGCCTAGTGGAGGAAGCAGCGACCTGGAAGATATCCATGAACATATAAACAACACAGTTACAAATGGAAATGGCTACATTACCCTGTTTTGCTAAGGTTATGCATGAGGAAAACCACCAGTTTTAGATATTTATTTGCCTATTAAACACATTCGACTGTGTGTGTGTGTGTGAGTGTGTGTGTGTGTGTGTGTGTGTGTGTGTGTGTGTGTGTGTAAAACTATTAGGATAACTGTTCTTAAGTCTATTTCTATTTCTTCCCAATGGATTAATTTGGTATAAAAAATGGCTTTAGTATACTATGGCTATTACTAGACGCTGTCAAACAATTTTCTTCAACAGTACTTTTCCGCCTGGGTTATACTTCAGAATTACCTATGGAGTTCATCAAAATAATGTAGGTTTGGGTTTTAGCCCCATGGTAGAAGGTTTGCCAATCACAGGTGATCCTAATTACAGTCACGCTTTCAGTAGCTGACAGTACTCCACTGTGCACGTATACTCCATACTCAGGTTTTGGTTAACTACTTTTAGTTAATTTCAGATTGCCTTTCATCTTTTAACTTTACGGAGTAAAATAAGCTTTCTTTGGAAATAAAGTTGAAAAACAAGCTCTAAAAGATAAAAACTGAGATTTCCTAATTGCCCTACTAAGAGATTCCTAAAGCTTCGTACTAGATCATGTCATTCTTCTGGATGAGCAGTAGCCAGAAAACACACGGAGTGGCTTTTGATTAAATCTGTATCTACAGTAGAGAGCAGGTATACCAGACGTTGGTCAGCAGCCAAAGGCATTTTCTGCCAAGCCTGATGAATTGAGTTTCATCCCTAGAACCCATATGGCAAAAGGAGAACTTCCAGAAGCTGTCTTCTGACCCCCAACCATGCACCACGGTGTCTGCACCCTCAAATAAAATAGGTAAAAAATATGATGTATTATATTAATATTCTAGTGAGTCAAGCCATGTTCAATAGAACTAGGGAAGTGTACAGCCTAAGAAACTGAGTAATCTGAGATATTATTGAAAAAGAAAGCCCCCTAGTTCTTAATATTACTCCTGTAAGCATTTCTTCCTACTGACGAAATAAAGATTATACTTCAAAATGGCTGAAAGAAACTGAAGCTAGTATGTTCTGAATTATAATTTAAATGTAGGATATGATGAACTTTAATGCTCATAATATTGCAGTTCAGACAAAAAAAACCACAGCAATACAGTTCTTTGACAGTATGTGAGAAGCCTGAACTATACCATTGGCGATCTTCTGCCAGCTGCCCCATAATATAGGGCAACCCTGCACTAAAGGACCTTCTAACTGAAGATTTTTAAACAGTAAGCTTAATAGAGAGCTGCCATTAACCCTTACTGATTACAATTTATAACGAATCTGTAACACAGTTACAGGGCTATCAGCTGCTGCTGTTGGAGAATTAACCAAGAAACACATTGAACATAAATTGCAAATGGAATAATCCTGATGAATGAACAAAGAAAGTCCAGTATAAAAAAGGAATTAAACTTCCAGATGACAGGCCTTTTAAAAATGCCTTTAATGGTAATAGGAGAATGAACTAAAGAATCAATAAATAGATTTTATCAGCCAAGCTGTAAGACAGAAAATGGTATAGGCATCATTAAGCTCTGTATTTGTATGTTATTCCTTTAGTGGTCCCAGATTCATTTCCTACAGAATGAAACCTATATTCCTGTTCTAGATTTTTAAGGACATTCATAACATCGGGCCATTTCCTACCTCAGACTTCAACATGCTAACACCCTAAATACCCTCTGCATTCTATAAGACAACCCAGCTGCTACAAGTCCCTCATTGTGTGGTACCCTTGCCAGACACACATTTACTGCTCATAAAACAGTGGTTCTTAACCTGTGGGTCTCAACCCAAGGTGGTGTGTGTGTGTGTGTGTGTGTGTGTGTGTGTGTGTGTGTGTGTGTCCAACAACTCTTTCACGGGGGTCACATATCAGCTATCCTGCATATCAGATATTTACATTATGATTCACAGCAGTGGCAAAAGTATAGTCATGAAGTAGCAATGAAAATAATTTTATGGCTGGGGGTCACCACAACATGAGGAACTGTATTAAAGGGTCACAGCATTAGGAAGGTTGAGAACCACTGTCCTAAAGGCACTATGAGTGAGGTCTCTCTTCCTCACATACAGATGCATCTTGAAGAGAGTGGGTGGTAACCTGTCCCTCATTATGCAGCCAGAACATGGTGAAGCTCATTCCGGGTAGCCCCTGTGATATTCCTCACCTCTGTATATATGGAAATAGGCCAAGTTTTCAGGCCCTGATTAAAACTTGCCTACTTCCCTCTTGGGGATTTCCCCAAGTAGACCATACTATTGTATCTAATTAAAAACATCCCTACCCATAGATTTACAAAACATAATCAAATGGTTCCTACTTCTACTCTTACACTTCTTTATTGCCTGAGCAAAGTCTAGGAGCGATTAGGTATAGTCATGTCAGAAACAAGGCGGCCAAAGCATTGAGGACCTTCAGAAACACTCTGAGAAAAGGTGCGGCCACCATGTTGACTCCATGATTCTAACCGAGGAAATGAGATTCTGTCCACTCACTTGGGACCACCCGCATCATCCACTTTGTGTTGTCAAGTGTTGCTTTCACTAAACAACACCAACACCAACGACAAACTGGGAGAGCTCCTGATAGTGCCCCTTGGAAGGCTCTTGGTGGTCACCTGGGAGCCAGAAGGCTGTATACTTGACGTTGGATAAAATTCTAGCCAGAAAAGGAGAAGATACCCAGTCACCTGTTTGGAATCAGGAAGGTCATAATGACATACGTGTGCACACACGCCTTTTTGTTTATTGCTGCCAACGCCACAAAATGAGCCTCTAAGCACTGCACTTTGCTAGACCTTGGGTTTTGCTGGCACAGTATCTGGTAGGTCGTCTAGCACCACTGAAACCCGAGCATTTCTGCAGTTTTTCACCTCAGCGTGACTGCTGTTGAAGAGCAGCCACATTTGGACATGTTCTATCCCAACTGCGCTGTTCTGTTAATAGTAGTTGCTTGGTAATCGATGCAAAGGGCCCCCCTCCCCCAACCCAAAAAAGAGAAGCGATGGATCATTAGATGAATTTCATCTATTTCTCGATTCAGCTCTGCTTACCTCATTTGTACAGAGCTATCTGATGGGGAGGGCACTGCCATCATTCACTAAGGAAACGACACATTTATTTACTGGTCACCCATGTGAGGGAAAGCGAGTGGATGAAGATGACAGTCAAATTTCTTGGCCGAGTGAGCTGCTGTCACAGCCAATTCCTCTGAGTGTCTGTAAAACACCTTTCAGACAGCACCACAGCTCAGTGGTCACATGCAGATTTTAGTGTGCCTCTGTCCATGCAAGCCTCTGACTGCTTGTTATAAACAAAAGCAAGGTTTTAGGTAAAGTTCTAATTTTGTTCAAATATAAAGTTCCATATCATCATTAGAGTAAGTACCTATTTTAATTCACATTTATGATGATGGACATGACATTTCTCAATAATTAAGTATGTTTTTTTTAAATGAGTTAAATAAGTCATCTAAACACAATACTGAGAATTATTAATTTTTTGTGTAAGAGTATGCAATATGCGTGTGTAGGGTGCTATGTGTGTACACATGCATGGAGAGGGTGTTGTCCTCAGGAGCCATGCATCTTAAGAAAAGAAAGAGCAAATGGAGCTGCTATAACCCATATTTTAAGAAAGGAAAACTAAGTAAGACAATCCAACCTAATCTTATAAAGGGGCCTTATCAAATCTTATTTATCAGAAGAGATAAATGCTGAGATTCAGAATCTGAGCAAGGCACAGGAAAGTACAGAGATCATCTCTCATCAGACTTCCTTGGAATGGGTTAGCTCTACTCAACACACAGCCACAGCTTCTACTCTGGGACTCTGAGAAGGTTCATCTAGCCAGCTGTCCAACATGCAGTGCTGGCACCAAGCCCCTTCTGTGATGTGTGCCTTTGTAGAAATGGTCATTTGGTGCTTACAGCTGCCTTTCCATGGTACACTTAGAATGTGGCCACTAATGAAAGTTGGTGACAGGCTATCTGCTAGACGCCAAAAGACTGACATGGATAGAAATTGTCTTTCCAACAGGTAAGAACATCTGTAGCATGCATGGGATCCTTCCAGCAATAAAAAGGAAGAAATGCTAAAAAAACATGTTAGGATCATAGAAGACTGTTTGATGGCCTTGGAGCTGGAAGCACTGTAATCTTAGAAGAGAGGGGCCTATGAAAATAAAGAAATGTTAGCACCCTGGTTCTAGCACAGAGCTTCATGTGTTCCCCATGAGTATTCAATTACTTGACTGAATATATTTACTTGTACTTCACAATTTTAAATTATGTGAAAGTAAACACATTAATATTATGACAGCAATAACACATTCCAGGGCATATTTATAGTTCTTAGAGTGACCAGCCCCGAAATCACACACTTCTCACAACCCCCTTAAACAAAGCAGTAACTGTTCATGTGAACCCCTTAATTCTGCTGTGACCTATGACAACTGTGTTTACACAGGTGTGCAGGATGGCCTTCTCCATAGAGCAAGTGTGAAATGGGAGGAATTCAAACTACCCCTGAACTTAAACAGAGAAGATATAATACTGGTGAAGAAAAAAAAATCCATTTTATAGGTAAATATTTTTCTCTCCTAGGCTGCCAAACACGAGGATATGAATGAATATATTTTAAGTTACATTTGGGGTTACTCAAAAACACTATAATTAGGACCTTAAGTTGTTTTTCTATTTTTAAAGTTACTCGGTTTAGCCTTGGGGAACACTAAGCCTGTCCTGGGTAATGTCCAACTACTACACCAAAAACCCTTCAGGCAACGTTCAGCCTGTCATGGTGTTACTCTCACTCTCAGAGAGCCACTACTGAGCACATTCTGTGCAGAGTGCTGTTATAAGTTGTGTTCTTTCGTTGTTATTGCAGCCAGAGTGCAGAGAAAAAAAATAAAAACCTACATGCAAATCATTCTGGCTTTGCAGGTCTATAATGGACAATCCTGCGGGAAGCACCTCATGAAAATTCATTCCCAGACTACCCCATGGCTACGCTGTACTAGTCACATAATAGCCATTTCAGGCAGCCCCACTTGAAAATTAGTTGCATGGGACCAAAGTACAACTCTCATTACCATTAACTTCCCAACAGCAACATTTTAAGCCCGAAAAGAAAAGCAGGAAACAAAAGAGAGAGAGAGAAAAAAAAAAAAAAGAACACGAAATAATCTGTCAATCACATGTCTTCCCTACATATTAAAAGTCTGTCAAAAGGGATTCTTAAATTAAAACAAGCTAGATAGAAACAGATGGCGCTTTGTCACTTCTCCTAGGTGATTGAAAGACACATCTGGGCAGGACTTGTCATTTAAGAGTCTCCTTAGCCTTAAGGAGTGTAAATAAGAGAATGGGGGCTCCTTCTCTTTCTCCTGTCCTCTCCTCCTCACTCTCTCCCTTCTTTTTCTCTCTGCCCCACCCCCTTCCTCTTTCCTTTCTATTTTCTCCACCGACCTGTCCGATGGGTAAACTATTACCCTCCCCAGTGTTGATTCTAAGCGTAGTCTATTTATAACACGAACCATCAGGTAAACAGTTTTGTTGAGTGGAGAGGAACTAAGAATCCAGCTACAGACAGAAAGCCAATACTGTACAAATGGGACCACACAGCACTGGTGACCACTGATATCTGCACACACCTCCTTAGCTACCACGACTCGTGAATCTCTCCAGATACAGTGTGTAATCTCGTCTCCAGCGGCTGCCTGTAGTTTCTTTTCGCATTAGGCATGATAAATGCATTTTGGAAATTGACAGTGGAAGATTAATACACTCATAAGCACCAAAGCGAACCTTTTACTGATTTCAAATCGCTGTTCTCCCGTCCCCTACTATCCAAAGAATACTTACTCACAAAGGCTTCCTCATCCACAGGCAAACGCATGGACATGCAGAAGTATGTGTCAGACTGTAAAAAAAGAGAAATAGACAAAATCCATTTTAAATGACTAAGAAGAGGAATGAAGTGATAACTATTAAATACACGGCCTCTAAGAACAAAGTGGAAGTACTCCAGTGAGGTGAGAATATCTGCTGAAGGCTGGGCAGCGCGTTAGCAGAAAAGCTGAGTCTGAATAACTCAGAGATACTAAAATGTTTTATATGGTGCTTTCCTAAACAGTTTTAAAACCTGTTTACAAGGGTCATCATCATAAGTGATATTTCTAGCATGGTCCCAGCTAAAAGGCAACATATTAGACGCTTTTCTAAAAATATGTAAAATGCATTTGCTTTGAAAATAGTAAGAGGTTGTTCTGAGCATCTTTGCTATTCATAAAATTTAATAATTTCCTATATCATTTTAAACATGCTACAAACATTAGTTACCATATATATTATTAGCAAAAGTTGGTTTTAGATATAAAATGGCATATGGTTACTCTTTGATTTTAGATTTTCATGTAATTTATTTAAGAACTCAACATAACCTCAAATTAGTCTTTCTTTTTCACTAATTGTTCCTTTACTGAAACGGTCACTCCTCTTGTTTTGATGTCACACACATTAGCATTAAACTCTTTAGTGAGCCAGGTGTGCTGGAGTATGCCCATAGTCCCACCTACTCTGGAAACAAATCAGAAGGATTGAGACCAGAAATTCAAACCAGCCTGCATATCACAGCAAGACCCTAGCTCTAAACAATAAATTAAAACAAAGAAATGAAACAGGAGAAATTGAGTAATACAAGCCTGAACTTGAAGCAGGCCTATGAAGAAGACCTAAGTGGAAATCTGTATGCAGTTAAGTGTGCGCTATGGCTGATGATACAGAGGTAGCTGCACCCAGTTAATAATTCATACTTCATACATTACTGTTGTAGAGTGCTAGAATCAACAGACCCCAGCCACACGGATACAGATCATCCGAGTGTCTCTAAATGTACAGTTAGCAGCTAAAAATCATGCATTTAACCTAATTTTTAACCTCAGTCTTAGGAAACAAAGAGGTTGGGATACACAAAATAAGTTGCAAAATTTGAAAAATTACAAAGATATGATCCAGTCATTGCCACTACTTTTATCTATGACATTTTTCAATTGAGAAAATAGTTTCATTTCTTAGAATCTCTTTTAGAAAATGGGGAGGGGAAAAAAGTGCTAAAAGTTGCACTAGGAGGCTGAGTCACAAAAAGACTGAAACAATGAACTCTGCATGTAGGACTTACGAGATATGCAGATAAAGTGGCATCGAAACATCTTAACCATTGCTTTGCAGAGGTTCCAATTCTATATCCTTCCACTGCCTCTTAAGATGCAGGTCTGCTTTCTCAAACAGTCTTCTCACGTTCAAGGAATACTGCTCGGCTCTTGGTGGCTCTCTCTGACCCGCACTAAGGAAGCCTGCCATAAAGGTTCAAGAAGCCTATTTCTCCTTCCAGTCATATCAATGAACAAACCCAGATGGCCTGCGCACAGAGACAAACCCTGTTCATAATCGTCAGCACACCCCAGACTTAAAAGGTTGCCTCCTTGTTGTCCTGGCAAAGTTTATTTAGTTCACAGCGGATAAGCTTCCCTTAAGAGTCCCGACTGAATACAATCTATCCTTCTCACGTGAACTCATATCGGGCCTTGGAAACCCACAAGTACAGCAGCTGAGGTCTGAACATAGCTCAGCTAACACATCACAGATAGTCCAAAGCAATGTGATAAGTAACAACTTAAAAGCAAGGATAGCAACAAGAGCACACTGAAGTAGCTAAGGCATGTATTTATAACCAAAACCCCAAAAGATTGGGATGAAATTCAAATGAAACCAAAATTCCTGTACTTTGAAAAAGGTGCTGCTTTTACTCTTTTTGTTCTGATCCAGTTCAAGTTACTGCTGGACCAGAAAACTTACTGAGTTAAATGGATACATCAAATTGCACAATCTGATTCTCTTGACAAAAGCTAAAAGCAAAAATGAAATGCATATGTATATATATATATATATATATGCATGCATTATTATATATATATGTATATAATTATACAAAATACAGAAAACTCCTGTTAACATCAGATCCATGCTGTTATGTATTGCTCTTATCAACTGCTCAATTTAAAAATTAGAAAAACTTGGGAATGTCTTTCTCTTATGAATTTACATTCTTAGATTATATCTTCTTTGACCATGAAAATGTTTACATTTCAGCTGGTTATTTCCTAAGCTGCTAAAGTCCATTGCAAAGAAGATAAAGACAGGAAAAGAAATAAAAATATGGGGAAAGAAAGGGGGAAGGAGAGAGAGAGAGAGGAGGGAAAGGAAGAGAAAAATGAAGTGAGAAATAGACAAGTATCTTACTCAATTATTTTGGGAGAGGAAAGTCTATTACGAGCCCAGCACCAGTGTCGACCATGACCCATCACAGTCTGATGCACAATCTTACTTATGCTCCACTTTTGAGATAAAGAATAATTTCTGTATGGAGAAAAGAATAGACAGCTTTTCCCTAAAACTGAGCACATTTAAAAACACAGTATTGCCAATCAATAATTTGCCTTCAGCTGAAAGCTCTGAAAACCACACAGTTCAATAAAATGGGGGAAAGGGATGTAAAGGGAACAGGAGGTTGGTTTTGCAATATTTTATTACCACAGTATGGTACTTAGAACTGAGGTAAGAGTCCAGAATCTCCGTGAAGAATGCACCACTTTAAGGGTGCAATTGGACAGACAAATGGTAAAGGATGACATGTGGACATCTTCAGTGGTCTCGAGGTTGGCAGAACATGAGTGCGCATATTCTTTACAATGCTATTTGTTTCATTCTCACAAGCGCGTTGTGAGTAGAGTTAGCAGTCAGTACATCTCTTTATTTTTTAACAGGTAATTACTGTGTTGATCCACTTAAGGCCCCCCAGGTAGTTAATGTCGGAATAGGATTAAAAGCCTTTATAGTTTATACCTGAAGACCAACAGCAATAATGAGATATAGTTCTTGTCATTTTCATTGTGTTAAATTTTAATCTATTTAAACTTGTGATTGTGACCAGCCCTTAAAAATCTCACCAACTGTACTTTTTATAAAGACTAAATTGTATATTCAAATAAAATTAAATTTCTTCATTAGTAAATGAATACCGTTTTTGGTTTCTTATCCCTGGGATTTTTTTTTTTGTTGTTTTTTTTTGGGGGGGTTTTTTTTGGAAAATGGTATTTATCAAACACTTGAAAGATTATGTTGGTGATTATATATTTTTTTTTTTTACTGAAACACATTAATTTTATAGTGGGTCACCAGTAACGCATATACTTTAAGCTGAAATCCCATGCTGTAAGAAATATAATCCATCTAAAAATGTTAGTGCTATGTGTCTTCATGTACTAACTATGATAGATGCAGTCACCAGAAAACTTTTTATGAAATAGCACATCCGCTGAAGGCAGGGATGTCAAGAAAAGAGGGATGCACATTATCAAAGAAAGAGAGAGAGGGAAAAGTGCTGTGGCTCACACTTGGAATCCTAGCACTCATGACGCTGGAGACGAGAGGCGTGCCCAAAGTGGGAGGCCATTCCGGGCTGTTTAGTGACTTCTGGGACAGCCAAAATGAACAGCATAGCAAGATCCTTTCTCACAACATAGAAACAAATGAATCAATAACATCATATCTGTGACATAATAAATTATTATTGGCCAGCAAAGCCAACTATGCTTTTTAAAATGATAAATGCTAAAGAACACTGTTTTTAAACAGTATCTTGACCTTACAGCCTTTATTGTACAACAATATTAAAAATATTTCAAATAACTGGGATCCAAGTGGTGGCTGAGTGGGGAAAGGGGCTTACTGTCAATCCTGACAACCTGAGTTCAATCCCCAGGATCCACCTAATAGAGGGAGAGAGAAAACTGCCAAATATTGCTCCGACTTTCACAAGTTCAGCATGTCACACACATGTCCATACAACACCCACAGGCACTCATAAACAAATATACAAAGATAATAGAAATTTCAGATATTTTATGGACTCTGTCAGAATTTAGCCTATGATTCTTTGTAAAAGAGAGAACATCTATTGGGTTTATTGTTTCATTTGAGACTTTTCCATTTCAGTAATTTACCAAGATAACACCATCAGGTAGGTAAATGACCGAATTTTTTTTCAGGATGGAAAACTGAAACTAAGGAAGATGAGTAACTTGATTGCAGGAAAAACAATTATCTAGGCTTGATAAAATAAAATTAATATCTAGTTTATTATAGCACTCTGCTTTGCAATATGGAAAAAAGAAGCTAGGTATGGTGGCACACGCTTTTAATCCCAGCAGTCAGGAGGCAGAGGCAGGCAGACCACTGAGTTCAAGACCAACCTGGTCTACATAGCAAGTTCCAGGACAGTGATGGTTATATAGTGAGACCATGTCTTAAAACAAAAATAAAAACAGATGAACAACAAAAAGAGCAATTAAAAGGGTATTTTTCAGATGTCTCCTATATTTGAAAACTATTATCAGTTTTAAAACACAACTTCAATTGTTTTATCTGATTAATGGTAGTCATAAGGAAATCAAGGATACATACAAATATAATAAGAAGCTTTAGTCCAAGTCTCCTAAATTCCCAATATCACCTTCAAATGTTTCACAAAAGCCTGATGATAGAAGACAGTGACTCAGAGTAAACCCACAACCATTCAGTTGTCACCATTTTGTTTCTGCAAAGTCAAGTTATTTAAATGCATATTCATAACTCAAATCAATGCTCCTCTCTAAGGCTTTTGGAAGACACAAATACAGTACCTTACTGCCCACTATAATAGTCTTTCCATTTGAGCACACAGAATTTTCCATACATCATCATGAATGTTCATTTTCACTCTGTGGGAAGAGCATTGTATCAGAGCTTGGTGCCAGGGGACTGTCTGCGAGGTCCTGCAAATTCCAACTGCTAACACAAGGCTCAGATGTGCAAAAGGGAGAA